GCGCTGGACCTTATTTCAATCTTCCTCACAGTCGTGTTGACCATCCTCGTTCATCTTTACCTGCAGTACATTCGAATGATTCGTCTACCAGGAATGAAGTCGGTGTCCCCGTCGTTTTCCCCGTATTGTCCTCCGTGCCCTAACAAGATTTTAGAGACGTTCAGGGCTTCGTTACGATTCTCCGAAATAACAACCCACTCTCTACTGTCTTCAAGGAAAGTACTAGCCTCGTCCTTGGACAACATCAACTCGCTCTGCTCAAACATAACTGTACTGTCCTCTTGTTTACTTCTAGTTCTCTAGCTTACATTCAGAACTTAGTGTACGGTGATAGTGGATGGAATGTATCCGCCAATGTTTGTATTCTTCTCCTCCCTGTCTATCCTCACTCAAGGTCGAACCAGATATCAGTATGGCCTTGGGGACGCATCTCCCTCATCGTAGCTGATCCTGACGTGTGCAAAGTGGGACTCCCATTTTGCACTGTCACATTCACTAACTATGATTAGGACCTCACGACTGATACTTCTCGATTCCAAAAGCCGCTCGAGCAGTATGAGCCGGTGACCTTTTTTGGTCCCAACATTCTCGCCGCGGAAGGATTACTCTGGAAGAGATACAAGAAAATCTGTGCCCCAGCTTTCTCCGAGGTATTCATCACCGGATCTTTCGAGTTCCACGACTAACGGTTTGATAGCGGAATATGAAGATGGTCTGGGATGAGAGCCTTCGAACAATGAACGAGTTTTTCGATCACATCTGGAGTGATGACAAGGACGATGGCATCTCTGTTGATAATTTTAGACAGCAAGCACTCCAGGTTGGTTTTCCTTTCATGCACTACCAGTTCTTGACTCTCACCCAAATTTAAGGTTACGATACGTGTGATTGCATCTGCTGGTGAGTTGGTTACGCAAAATGAACATCACTGCGCACGCGGTTGAGAACGTCCCATAGGGTTTGGAATGCGACTTTCCTGGAGTGATCATAGTTCCGTACCCGCAGGGCATCGCCTTACAATGGAGGAAACGTTCGAGATCGTGGCCCGGGACTCATTCTACAAGATGATTTTCCCAGACTGGCTCGGAATCGTCATACCGCCACTCAAGCGCGCTAATCTGGCCTTCAATGAGCTCCGGGTACGTTGCACCGGTTCAAACTACGATAGGTCATTGATGATGGGGTACAGACCTATCTAGAGGAAATCATTCAGAAACGCAGATCCGATAGGAGCGCCAACGACGCCAACGATTTGTTCAGTAATCTTCTTGAAGCTAACATGTGCGAGGTGGAGAACGATGGTACTGGTCGCCTAGACGACTCTGAATTGATCAGTACGTCGGCGGTGCGGCGTGTTCTATTCCTAACTCAGAGAACTCACTATCAAGGTAACGTCTATGTCTTCCTCCTGGCTGGACACGAAGTAAGCGTGCATTCTCTCACATAAGAATGCCCGTCACGTGCTCATGGCCACTCCAGACTTCGTCGAATTCATTCGCTTTCGCAATGGCCCTCCTTGCGCTGTACCCGGATGAGCAAGAGAAATTGTATCGCGATATACTAACTGTGTCAGGCGGTACTCATGGAGAGATGGTTCGTATCAGTCGCCATCTCCATTTCGTACTGACGTTCCCGTTTGCAGGTCTTCGAGAATAGAACACTATACAGACGAACTCTGGCGTAAGCATCCCGTTAACACCGTTTTTCGCAGTCTCATGTTGCTTTCAGTGTGTTTTACGAAACATTGAGACTGTTCCCTCCAGTTCGTGATCAACGGATCTACTTGACAAGGACTAAAATTGGCGGTTTCTTAGAACATCAACATTCCCAAGCATGCCATCGTTGACACGACTATTCGTGCGCGTAATCGTGATGGGCGGACGTTGGCTGTCTACCTGCCAAAAGGGTCCACTATCATCATGCATCCTCCTGGGATGCACTACGATTGTAAGTCTTCTTTTCTCGTGACGGACCGCGGTTTGATTGTTCTGAACACAGCAAAGTACTGGAAGGATCCGTACAACTTCGTTCCAGATCGTTTCCTGGAACCTGACTGGCCACGACACGCGTTTTTGCCTTTCAGTCTTGGTACGCAGCTCATACCTCAACTGCAGTGGATTGCTGATGGCGTGATAGGCTCGCGATCATGCATCGGTCGAAGGTAAGCGCTCCCATATCTGTCGAAGTGCCTCTTCACCATCATGATACAGATTCGTCGAGACTTCCATGACGGCTATGATCAACGCCATGGTCATGAGATACAAGATCACCGTGTTGGATGAGGACAGATACAAATCAGAGTCTTTTTTGGAACGGAGGGAACGAGTCACCAACGGCGTTTACGGTATCACGCATACGTGGGTTATACGCATTTCTCCGGCATCAGCTAACATAGAACACATCTGTAGACCTCGACGTGTGCCGCTGAAGCTTACGCGGAGACTTTGAATGGAGATGGAAGGATGTTCGTGATCAAAATTCGTCTGCCAGTGTACTAGTAGTATCATTACCACCTTATATGCGCTTCCGCTGACTCGGGAACATCGAAGTACGATCAGTTCTATTCAGGCTACTCGACTGATATTCAGCGCTCTGCATCGCTTGCCGAGTCAATGTGCATCGAGGCAGTGATATCAGCACTCAAAAGTTCTCTTCACCGCTTCCACACCGCCCACAACAGCACCATGACCACTGTACCTCAAACCCTAGCTGGCTATGTCGCGGTCGTTACAGGTGGCGGAACGGGGATGTAAGTTCTAGTTCGAGACTCGTATAGCCTTCCTGAGCCAGTGCATTACAGAGGACTAGCCATCGCGGAAGGGCTAAGCGCTCACGGTGCCAAAGTGTATGTCGCGAGCAGACGCGCTGATACACTTACTGCGAAAGAACACGGCGGATCTCTTGTGCCGTGCGTACACCATCAGTCTTTGGCGCTCGTCGGGACCATAACAGTACCGATGTAGATTGGTTATGGATGTCACGAACGAAGATTCGATCAAAAGCGCCGTACAGAGAGTCGAAGCGGACCACGGGAAGCTTGACATTCTCGTCAATAGGTGGGTCGCAATGTGCTCGGGCACGTAATTGTGTGTGGGTGGGTCTCATGTTCCCCGCAGCGCGGGACTCGCTTCTCCCGGCAACCGGGGCAACTTTATACGCGAGAAGTACACCGCCTCGATGAGTGGCGGTGAGCTGATGAACGTCGAGAGCGCGGCTGGCTGGGAGGAGGTGTTCAAGGTCAACGCGATTGCGCCGTTCTTCGTCGTCCGGGAGTTCTCAAAGCTGCTCATCGCCGCTGCGGAGAAGAGGAATGCGACGTCCTCCGTGATCAACGTCTCCAGCAGCGCGGCCAACTTGAATGCCACTGTCGTCGGGAACTCGGTCTGTTTCAAGTCGCGTTCTCTGCCACTGCTTGCCAGACTAAATTTCAAACTTGTCAGTTCGCGTACGGCCCGTCAAAAGCGGCTCTCGAGCAACTTTCGAGAGTGATGGCAGCCCAGTTCGCCAAAGAGAATAAAGCAATCCGAGTCAACGTTCTTGCTCCCATCCTGTTTGCGTCGGAAATGGCGCCAGCAGAGCTCATAGAGCCGTATGGGAGCAAGCCCATTCCGGGATTTACTGCGACCATTCCTGCCAGGCGGATCGTGACGTGCGCCTTCATCAAGTCCTTCTTCTGTTTAGTGAACTGACCATGCCACAGAGCAGACGAGATAGCAAAAGCGGTTGTATTTTTGGCTACGGCGGAGTACACGAATGGCGTCGTGCTCGGTATTGACGGCGGAGTCCAGCTTGTGAATTCGTAAAGTGGCGGTCGTGTAGTAGCAAGATGTCCTATGAATTTTAGCCTCCCTACTCATTGAGGAAAGAGTGTTCGCCGCTTTGGTTCTTGAGTGGTGGTGATGGTTCCGGAAACGCTGTGTATCCGATAAATTTGGTGTCACCACGATCGCGTGACTTTCATGCAGGGTAGTGTGGCGCTGCTCACTGCGCACTGCTCACTGCTGCCCAGTGCGCCACCCTGATAAATTGTGTCTTTTCGGACTGGATAGCTGCATCAGTGCATCGTAGGGTGGCGCAGTAAACCCTAGAGTATAGATGTTGGGTTTACTGCGGTTCTTAATGGTATACCGTATCAATACGGTTACCGGTACCGGGTATTGAGACGCGTAGGGTGGTGAAGTAAACCCTTGGTTTTGATACACCTCGGTTTATTGCGGTTACTAACGGTATCGATACGGTATTGAAACTGTCGGGGTCGGGAGGTAGGTTTCGATACCGGCACGTGATCACTTCACGTGACGGCCCGCTGGCGCTAAGAGAAGCTGAGAGTGGCGGGATGAGGGCGGCGAGCCACTGCGCCACATCACGTGCTCAAAACACGTGCCGGTATCGAAACCGTTACTAACGGTTTCAAAACCAGGGCCTGCCGGGGGGGTCGGTATCAATACCGTTACTAACACCCCCCGGAGGTAGGGTTGCGCAGGATACCTATAATATCGCGCCGTTCGATATTTAACCGGTTATTAACGGTTATTAACCGGGTTAATAACACCCCTTTCAGAGGTAAGTTTTTGGGCAGTTATTAACCCATCACATGACTGCATCATGTGAACAGGTGGGGCGGGTTGGGGCGGGATCGGCGGGGAGAAGGGTGATTGCAGGCAAGATGGACTGGTAATGAGCCACTAGACTGAATACATACATCAGAGGTTCAGTAAAACTTACATTAGACCATTTTTCAGCCATTCAAGAGGTTTATGAGGGCCTGAGAAGAAAATTTTGCTTGGGACCGGGAAAATACGCCACATTACATCACGTGTGCGGTTATTAACTGTTACTAACCGTTAATAACATACCCCAAAATGGGGTATATTCCGCCGAGGTTACTAACCGCCTCGGGAATATACTGCGCAACCCTACCCGGAGGTTTACTGCGCCACCCTAGAGACGCGAGTCTTGAAAGTTCAAAAAACATGTAGACCTGACCCACGAAACCTTAGCGACGCCAGCAGGATTTGAACCTGCGCCCTCAAAGAGGAACAGATGAACATTGTTGGCACACGGTTCATTCTAATCTGTCGCCGTAACCACTTGGCTATAGCGCCGTGAAGAATTGTTGCTGCGCTGTGTGGCGTCGGAATAGGCTTCTTGAAGGCACATGAGTAGTAGTGTCACTGTGGCGTTGTAACCATCACCAATGGAGAGAAAGGAAAGGGATTGTTGCATAGACACTGATTGAATTCTGATCATTCCATGATCCATCGCTGTGGCGCAATTACCAATTACGTTGTAGTACGAGACAAAAAGGGCCTCACTGGGAATTGAACCCAGGACCTCCTCGAACAGTATACCCAAACGAGGAATCATGCGACTAGACCATAAGGCCGTGATGATGAGACAACTGCAAGAGACTATGGCAAGATGTGCAAAGTTACTGTAAGTTGGCCTGCAATAGCGAACATGACTTTGACTCAACTTTGACTACAGCGGACAATGCTCCCGATTATAATGGCACCCTAGACTGTACTGGCATCCCGCTGATGTGTAGTCGCGAGAAAGTATACACGTTATCTTCAAGGGGTTATGGTCTAATCAATGTCTAATAGTAATTAGTGAATCTGATGACCACGAACAGTAAACTTTGCATAGTAAATCCTGCTCAATATCCCTTGTCGATGGGCTTCAAATTCTCTGACTTTCTAGCCGCACGTAGAGGGGCGGGAGGGGAGGCGCGTTTCCCGCCCCGGCAAGTCGCGGCAGGAACATTGCAACGCGGAAACCTAAAAAGTCTAGGCGTCATTAGTACGTTAGTGATGTGCCTGAGGCCTGATGTTGGACTCTTGTGCTGGTACAACGAGTACAACATGCGCCTTCTCCGCGCCTGAACGCATTTTGTCTTCAAATGTAACGTTTCGCAGATCCAGAACCAGAAGCACCATTCATTACGTCTAACGATGGAGTCCGACTTGGACTTGGACTTGCACTCGGACACCTCGTCGCTGGCAGAGTCGAGCGCCACGACGACAGGCAGCAGCTACTACATCTCCGACTCTCCGCCATCCTACGATCCCAGCTCGTCCTCCGATTGGGATGACATGATACCCGCGCCGCCACGAGTTCGAGTATCAGAGACTGAGGAGGTTTTCTTCTACTCTCCCGCACCTGGCGTCGTGCGTGAAGAAACACGCAGACACCGACGGCGCCACATCAATGTGCAGCGCACACGCAAAGGCCACATCCACGTCTACGAAAACCGCCTCAGTCAGTTCCATCAATCTCCGCTCTATTCGGTCACTGATCGCAGACAGGTCGCGACTTTTTCCTCATAATAACACTCTGCTTTGCCTCGGCCTGTTTCCTCGTCTGCCTCATTCGGCCATACGCCATCTTGTGGATAGCAGATGCATTTTCATAGCACGACAAATCGAGAATACAGACATATACAACAACACCCTTCCTTCACTCTTCATAAATGCGCATTCCATCCCCTCCCCATCTTCGCATCAGCGCCAGGCCTTCGCCCGTCGTCTGCGTAAACGCCACCTGGCCCTTCCTCGCGTCCAGCTCGCATCCCTCTATAAAAGTCCTAGCCGCGGTAGAAAGCAGCTGGCTCGCTATACCCTGTCTGCGAATGGATTTCGCGACAAATATTCTTGCAATACCGAGTGCAGTAGGAAGACGCTCGGGATGACAAAAAAGACTCGTGTCGATGTGTCCGAGGTCTCCGGTGGATGTGGCAGCATCGGGGGATACGATCGCCATTGCACTTGAAATGCGCTGTGCGAGGACACACCCCACAATCCTCTCTTTATTCGACGTGCCAGAGCCAGCTGGGAGGAGAAACAGATACGCTTTGGACATTTGTAGAACTTTGGACTCCATTGGCGGCGATGATAATGCTGTGTTGACGATCTTGAGAACAGTAGATAACTGAAAATGTTGTTGTAAGACCACAATACGAGTGTAATACGTTGGAGAGGACGAACCTTTGCACCAATCTTACCGCCTACTGTACCCCGAATACATATTATTCTTCCCTTCTGACCATTCTTCAGGACGACGTTATTCGCGACCTCGTCGACGCGAACCTTGCTCGCTTCTCTTTCCTCCTCGCGTCCCCATTCCATGTCCCGCTGTACACGCGTACAATGCGCGCGATGGAGGCTCTCGTCTTCCGGCGCGCCTTTCGTGTACGACAGATCGCATTTCGGACATTGTCGCAGAGTGGACTGGTCGATGCAAAAATGTAGCTGGGTGAGGGTCTTTTGCTTCTCTTGCGGCTTTCGCGTGTCCTTCTTTAGGCGTTTGGCTGGCGCGTCGTCGGCGTCCTGCAGGGGGCGCTTCCTGCTCGTCGCGGGCGGCGGTGATGATGACAGCGTGGATATAGGCGACGAAGGCGTGATAGCGTGCTTCCTGTGTCGCTTCGAGGTATAGGTTCGCTGGACTTTAAAGGCCATTGTAGATGAGATGAAGCAACTGACAACGATGACAAATAAACAACAAACGAGCGCGTCGGGATAATTTGTCCTTGTTTGTCCTCTTTGTCCAGCTTCAGATTGGATTACTTGATGGTCTTTTCTTCTAAGCCGGCTCTTCCCAAGTGACTTGACAGGTACAAATCACGTCTGTATTATATACTGTACAAATGTCTATGGCGAAATTGGCGACTCTGCAACCCCTCCAACCCCAGCGGTCAAGTAGACCGCTTTCCCGTTCTCCGCAATATAGAAGCAGTCTTCGAGACGAACACCAACCTTGGAAGATGTCAAAACAAAACAACTGAGATATAGAAAGAACATACTTTGCCCTCGATATATATACCAGGTTCATCTGAGAAAGCATGACCAGTCTGAAGAATAGTCTCGCTGCCGCCATTCAAGTATGGGTCTTCATGTGTCTCAAGCCCGATGCCTATGAAGGACATGGAGTCAGATCGAGTTTCTATAGAATGCTTTGAAAACGCACCATGTCCCAGGCGATGTGTCAAGTACTTATCATTGCCGGAGAGACTCAAATAAAGTCGAGCAGCCCGGTCAACTTCCTTAGCGACCACTCCAGCCTTCGCCGTCTGGAATGCAATGTTCTGAGCACCGTGCACTTGATTCCAGAGAGCTCTGTGTGTCGGCGGAATCTTGGAATCATCCAAAGCAACCGTCTACGATAAACGTCAGCAAGGGCGCTGGTACACTCAAGATGTACAAAACTGACGCGTGTGACATCGCTTCCATAACCATGAAGGCTTGCTGTGCAGTCGAAGAGTGCAAAGTCGGAGATACCAAGCGCGCGATCTGTCCCGCTTCCATGTGGTAGCGCCGCATTCTCTGGATCAAAGAGGATGAGGATTGCCATTCTATTAGTAGATTAAGATATACGACTCACCCCCGAACAAGGTCAGGCATTCGCCATTCGAAAGACCGGTGCTTTTCAACGCGGCAGCAATCATTGCGCGCGCTTGGGATTCGCGTATTCCAATGAACAATTTCTTTCGGACTTCACGAATAGAAAGTAGAGTAGCCTGGGAAAGACTTTGAAGCTGACAGGAACGGAAATTATGTGTGTACGAACCTCATTCGCACACTTCATGAGCTCCAACTCCGCCTCCGACTTGCGTTCGCGTAACTGGCGAACCTCGGGAGGTGCGGTGACGATAGTCGCCAAAGGGAAAGCCTTCTGTAGTCCGTCCACAATAAAGTGTCGTATAGCCCCGTCGACAAAGATGGTACCAGAAGTGGATGAAATCATGGGAGCGACCTTCTCATACGGATTTACTTCTTCAGCCCATTCCGTATACTCAACCGTGCCCTTGAATGGAATGGGAAGCATTTTCGCTCTAGTGGTCTCAAACTTGGGTGTCAAGACAGACACTTTGGCTGTTACGTCGTCCGAAGTTGATTCCGGAGTTACGATAAGCAAAAGCGGACGTTCCGATAGCCACCAATTCGAGGTCGAAAGGTTTCCGTAGAAGGTGGCGCTGGCACCGGGTTCTGCAATGTACGCAGAGGCATTGAGACCGTGCAAGACCTTGGCCAGAGATGATTGCCGCTGGTGGAACTCGGAGGCGGCGATAGGTGTTGTGTGAGAGCAATAGCCTTTGATTTCTGGGAAATCAAGACCGAGGGATGGTGAAGGAGGAACAGTATCAGTGTTGCGTCGGCGCGACAGATCACCGATGTTGACTAGGAAGGCGACGGCAGCGAGGACTAATATCTGAAGAGAGATGTGAACAGCTGAATATGAATGAGGAGAAGGTACTGACTATCCAGCTGAACGTGTCGTTGCCGCGTGGAACTAAGGCCGTCCGGGGAGCGCTCTCGCACCTGTCACCCGCGTTGTTGTCCTTTCTTGACTTCTCGTTACGAGAGTCCATGGCGGCTGAGAGAAGCAAGGTCCGGCTCGTCGGACCGAGTGCAATGTGCTCCACGTGAGCATCGTTACTCAGACACCGACGGTGCCCGCTTCATTTGCTCAACGATGAACCACGACGACACAGAAGTCCTTATTGCTACTGTCTTCAGTCTACTTGACTCTGTCAATCCCAGCTACTCCTCGGTCCTCGATACTCTCATCCAATTTGATGGCGACGTTGAAGCCGCGGCCAGGCATCTCAACAACCAAGGCGGCTCGAAGAAGAGAAAGCGAGAAAACACCTTGGCTTCTTGGTTAAACCCGGAGAAAACCTCTAAAGATGTAGATCCGGAACCGTCTATCAAATCTCCTAGTAGAACGCGCGTCCAAGTCGCGTCGCCTTCAAAGAAACCGGCTGTCGATCTTATGACTGTTCTTCGTCCGCCGTCCTCAGACAAGCGGAAGGCTACGCGTCTTCCTCCCCTGTTACTCTCAAACTCCAGCATGATCTCAGAGCATACTCCATGTACGCTGCATCAAGCGATCCTCCCTCCCGAACTCGCGTGTAGACTATTCTACACTATGGTCGACGCGTCCAGAACTTGGAATAGGAATAAGTGGTGGCTATTCGACCGCGTCGTAGAAAGCCCTCATCGAACCTCCTTCTTTGCCCGGAAAACGGACGGGGTTGGAAGTGATGATTCTGGCAAGAAGCCGCACAATTCTGGTAATCGCTGTCTGTTATGGTTTTAGATATATT